AAGTTTAGGATGACCCTAACTTTAAGTTATTTCCAAGTTACAGTTACTTCCAAGTTTAAAATTACTCGAGTTTAGTTTTAGTTACTTTCAAGTTTAAGTTACTTTCAAGTTAAAGGTACATTTAAGTTTAAGTTACTTTGAAGTTTAAGTTACTTCTAAGTTTAAGTTACTTTCAAGTTTAGGATTATCCGAATTTTTAGTTGCTTCCAAGTTTAATTTACTTTCAAGTTAAAGTTACTTTTAAGTTTAATTTTCTTCCAAGTTAAAGTTACTTTCAAGTTAAAGTTACTTTCAAGTTAAAGTTACTTTTAAGTTTAATTTTCTTCAAAGTTTAAGTTACTTTCAAGTTAAAGTTACTTCCAAGTTAAAGTTAATTGTAAGTTAAAGTTTCTTCCAAGTTTTAGTTGCTTTCAAGTTAAAGTTACTTCCAAGTTTAAGTTACTTTCAAGTTTAGGATTACCCGAATTTTCAGTTACAATCAAGTTTAGGTTTGTCTAAAGTTTAAGTTACTACCAAGATTATACCAAAAGTTTAAAATACTTAAATATGTTTATGTAGGATTTTAGTTACTCTCAAGTTCAGATTTACTTTAAAGATTTGGTAAACTGAGTGTTTTAGTTTGTTTTTTTTGTTACTTTTATTTTATCTAAAGTTTGTTACTTTCAAGTTTTCCTTTCTCTAAAAATTAAGTTGCTTCCAAGTTATGGTTAACTTACAGTTTGTTACATTCAAGTTTAGGTTTATACGCAAAGATTATAAGTTACTTTTAAGTTTTGGTTTCTTTAAAATTTAAGTTGCCTCCAAGTTTTAGTTGTAAGTTATGGTTTGGATAAAGTTTAAGTTACTTTCAATTAATGGAAATTTGAAGATAAAGTTACTTTCAAGTTTTAGTTTACGTGAAGTATTATATAGTTACTATAAAATTTTGGTTTCTTTAAAGTTTATGTTAATTTTAATTTTTTTAAGTTTTGGTTCATGTTAACTATAAGTTTAGGTGTACTTAATATTTAAATTACTTTCAAGTTTTAGTTTTTACTAAGTTTATGTTAATTTCAAGTTTTCGTTAAAAAGCTTTGGTATACGTAATGTTATAGTAACTTACAAAGTTTAGTTTTGTAAATTTAAGTTATACTTCAAAGTGTTTGGTTCTCGTAAAGTACAAGTTACTTTCTAGTTTTGGTTTCTCTAAAGTTTGAGTTACTTCCAAGTTTTAGTTCAAATAAAATTCATGTTACTTTTAAATTGTGCTTTCGTAAATGTTCAAGTTTTTTTTCAAGTTTTGATTTACTTAAAGTTCTAGTTACTTTAAAGTTTTTAGTTTATTGCAAATTTATAATACCAGTTGTATTGGAGCTAAATTTCAATTACTTTTCAGTCAAAATATGTGATAACCTAATTTTTTGTTTAAATCAATTAAATACATATATATATATATATTTTTTTTTTACTGAGACACAAATATAATTTTTTTTCTCTTTTTGGTATATATATATATATATATATATATATATATATATATATATATATATATATATATATATATATATATATATATATATATATATATATCAGGGAATGTCTAAATTTCGATGATGTCGATATTTTCTCATGATAAAGAAAGAATGAAAAGAAGTGAAAGAAAGAAAATTATGATGATGATGAAGGTGATTTTGGAGCGCGTTACGATTGCCTTGAAATATCCAGAGAATATCGACCACTTGCCAATAGCGACCCCAAAGATGAGAATATACTTTTCCATTCTTGCCAAGGTGCTCGTACATTATACATCAACAGTTGCTCTCTGCTTCTCTCGAGGCGCTTAAATACCGAACTATATATATATATATATATATATATATATATATATATATATATATATATATACATACCTACATCTATATCTATAACCGCACTTGCACATGAACCAAGAACAAGAGTTAAAAAAAAAAAAGAAATATTTATGTTAAGGCGGCTCACCGCTCAGAATTAAGACATTCTCGAACTAATAATTTTCAGCCTCTGAACTAAAAAATTTTGTCCGCATATAATACGCGTGCACCAAGAGTTTTCCTCCTTGCAATTGAAACTGTATTATATATATATATTGCTCTCTTCATTTGACTTCTTAGAAAAAAAAACAGAAAAAGAAAAAATTTATTTTTTTTTTATTTTTTTTATAAATTATTTAATGAGTTAATTAAAAATTAAATGTACTAATACAATATTGGCTCGATAGTTATAATAAATTCTCTAGCCATTTCTCGTAAAAGACAAAAAGAAAGAGTTCTATTAATATTTAGGTTTGTTTCAAGTTTTAGTTTCTTCCAATTTTATGTTACTTCCATGTTTAGGATTATCCGAAATTTAAGTTACTTTCAAGTTTAGGATTACCTGAATTTTAAGCTACTTTAAGCTAAAGTTACTTTCAAGTTTAGGATTACCCGAAATTTAAGTTACTTCCAAGTTTAAGTTACTTTCAAGTTTAGAATTACCCGAAATTTAAGTTACTTCCAAGTTTAAGATACTTTCAAGTCTAAAATTACCCGAATTTTTAGTTACTTCCAAGTTTATGTTACTTTTAAGTTTAGGATTACCCGAATCTTTAGTTACTTTTAAGTTTAGGATTACCCGAATCTATAGTAACTATAAGGTTTAGGATTATCTGAAATTTAAGTTACTTTCAAGTTAAGGATTACCCGAAATTTAAGTTACTTTCAAGTTTTAGTTACTTCTAAGTTTAAGTTACTTCCAAGTTTAAGTTACTTTCAAGTCTAAAATTACCCGAATTTTTAGTTACTTCCAAGTTTATGTTACTTTTAAGTTTAGGATTACCCGAATCATTAGTTACTTTTAAGTTTAGAATTACCCGAATCTTTAGTTACTTTTAAGTTTAGGATTACCCGAATCTATAGTAACTATAAGGTTTAGGATTACCTGAAATTTAAGTTACCTTCAAGTTAAGGATTACCTGAACTTTAAGCTACTTTCAAGTTAAAGTAACTTCCAAGTTTAAGTAACTTTCAAGTTTAGGATTACTCAAAGTTTAAGTTACTTCCAATTTTAAGTTACTTTCAAGTAGAGGATTACCCGAATTTTTAGTTACTTCCAACTTTAAATTACTTTCAAGTTTAGGTTTACCCGAATTTTTAGTTACTCCTAAGTTTAAGTTACTTTCAAGTTTAGAATTTCCCGAATTTTTAGTTACTTCTAAGTTTAAGTTACTTTCAAGTTTAGAATTTCCCGAATTTTTAGTTACCTTTAAGTTTAAGTTACTTTCAAGTTTATGTTAGTTTCAAGTTTAGGATTACCCGAATTTTTAGTTACTTCCAAGTTTAAGTTACTTTCAAGTTTATGTTACTTTCAAGTTTAGAATTACCCAAATTTTTAGTTACTTCCAAGTTTATGTTACTTTCAAGTTTAGGATTATCCGAACATTAAGTTACTTCAAAGTTTAAGTTACTTTTGAGTTTAGGATTACCTAAACTTTAAATTTCTTCGAAGTTTAAGTTACTTTTAAAATTTGGGTGAATTAAATTTTAAGTTACTTCAAAGTTTTGGTTTACTCAAAGTTTAAGTTAATTCCAAGTTTAGGATTACCCGAATTTTTAGTTACTTTTAAGTTTGGTTTACATAAAGTTTAAGTTTTGGAAAATAAAAAATACGTTTTGTGATGAATTGAGAGAGAGAGAGCAAGAGACAGAAAGAGAGAGAGAGAGAGAGAGAGAGATTGAGATTTTTCCTACTCTGATCTGTGAGCGGTCAATAGGTGTCAGTTCATGCGAAGAGAAGGCTAATGCCTGAAGGTGCACCGTTTCAACTTCCCCGAGTCTACAATTACGAGCCATACCATGTCGAGTCGAAGCTCATAACGAACTCACTATATTGCCCCGCATTTCACAAAAGTTGCGGTGTACGCGCCTCTACGATATCTTCCACGTCCAAACGAGATCTCTTCCACTTTTTTTTTTTTTTTTTTTTGTTTTCTCTTTGTGGAAGATGGTTTTTTTTCATTTTTTCTAATTTTTTTTTGGCCCGTCACAGTTGGGTTAATTAAAAATTCGACATTTTTTTTTTGTCAATATAGAATATTTTTTTTAATTTACCAAAAAAAGAAAGATTTATATTTACCTTAATTTTTTATTAAGCAAATTTTTTATTTACCTAAAGGTTAAATTTAGCCAAATGACAATATTTAATGTAATTTTTGTGTTAAAATTGAAAAATTTCAATTGTTTAAATATTATAATTTATTTAGATAGTTTTCATTAGGCAGACTTTTTATTTAGCCAAATATTAATTTAACGTAATTTTGGTATTTCAAACAAAAAATTTATTTCTTAAAAAAAATTATTATTTTCAGTATTAATTTATTTGATTATTTTTTATTTAATACAATTTTATTTTGCCAAATGACATTTAACCAAATTCTATTTAGTCAAATGACATTTAACGAAATTTTATTTCGCCAAATGACATTTAACCAAATTCCATTTAGCCAAATGACATTTAGCCAAATGACATTTAATTAAATTTTATTTAGCCAAATGACATTTAACCAAATTTTATTTAGCCAAATGACATTTAACCAAATTTTATTTAGCCAAATGACATTTAACCAAATTTTACTTCGCCAAATGACATTTAACATAATTTTGTCATTTAACCAAAAATCAAATGTTAAATTATTTATTAGATCAATTTTCAGTAGACAAAAATTATTATTTAGCCAAATATTATTTAGCCAGATATTTATTTAACTTAATTTTGGTTTTTCAACAAAAAGAAAATATTGAATATTAAATTATTATCTCTTTAAATTTTCATTATGGAAATTTTTCAAATGTTTCATTTAGCCAAATTTTATTTAGCCAAATGAACAATTTAACATGCGACTTTGGTATTCAACCAAAATATAAATATTTAAATATTAATTTATTATATGCTAAATTTTTATTTAGATAATTAATAATCCAATTTTTTTTTTTTTTTTTTGCTTCCAGATTGACGTTCCCGTGGATGTTGAAGATGATAATTCAGAACCCGGAAACGAATCAACGTCACCGGAAAAGGGTTTCAAAGGTAATTTTATATTTTAATTTTATTAAAATCAATTAACTTTTACCTTCTATAAATTACGTAATTCAAATTTTTTTTTAATTTTTCCATTTTTTTTTTTTTTTTTTTTTTTTTTTTTTAATGAGAGCATACTAAAAAAAATCTTCACCTAAAACAGCGATTTATATTTCTCGAGACAATAGCGAAAACTTTTCTCTGTTTTAGTAAAATATATCGCTGTTATAGATAAAGATTTTTTTTTTTTTTTTTTTTTAAATACAAAAAAAAAACTTTCGTAAATTTTATCAAAAAAAAAAGAGGGGGGAAAGGGGTGGGGATCCCAATTTTTTTTTTTTTTTTTTTGCCAAAAAACGGGGGTTTATAATGAATTTCAAAATATTTTTTTTTTTTTTTCAAAAATCAAAAATTGTGACGTCAATCTCTTGACAAACGAAATGTACGGAATTAACGCCTGCATATCAGTTATCCGTCGGATGAAACCAATCCACTTACTGAGAAAAAGTGAAAGAGAAAGATAGAAAAAGATATATCCCTCTCTTTATATACGGTTAAAGGTTTTGTTCGCGAACAAAAATCTGACAAATATGCCACAATTTGCTCGTATAGAAAAGAGAGGAAAAAGGCAAGTTTCCAACTCATCACAATTTACCCCCCCCCGCATTCTCTATTCCAATTTCTCTCTCTCTCTCTCTCTCTCTCTCTCTCTCTCACTTTCTTTCTTTCTTTCTTTCTTTCATCCCTTGATTCTTCTCAATTCGTGAATTTCGAAGGCAGAGATATTTTCTGTCGTAAGCGGGGTTCGAATATATACGGTTAAATTACTTAGGCTCGGAACAAAACACACGTAACAAATGAGGGCGAATCGGAGGCACTTATGCGATATTGCCCCCCCCTCCCTTCCCCCCTTTTGCCCCCTTTCACGACCCCTCACCTACCCCATCAAATTGACACCCACGTTTATTGATATAAGTTTCAATAGGACACACACGAGTCAGTAAAAGTCATTTTCACACGTAATACACTTTTATTATAATATGTATAATATGGAAAAATTAGGTATATTAGAAAATGACAGAAATCAATTTTTCAGCTTGTTCAATATATATATATATATATATATATATATATGTATTTATGAGATAATAACAAATTCAAACAGAGAGAAAAATATTTTTAATTTCAGCAAAAAAATGATGAGTATTGATTTATATATTTTTTTCTTGGGGGGCGGGGGGTGATTTGACAAAAATATATAGAGGTAAGGTTGGTAGTTTTTTTTCTCGAAAATTTTGAGAGAGAGAGAGAGAGAGAGAGAGAGAGAGAGAGAGAAATAGTATTAAAATTCTATAATTATCTACGGGGTAATATGGTACAAACGTTAAAATTTGTTTTTTAATTCGGTTATATAATAATAGGTATAACACGCGGTGGGTCAATAAAATAAATACGCTAGGGGAGGGGGATGGGTTAATAGAATTTAAATAGGAGTCAATTATATTTTTTGAGTGTGTTAAATAAAGTTGATGCATTACTTTTTTGCGTATATATGTTTAAAGTGAAAAATAATACTTCTGCGCATAGTTTAAAGTGAAAATAGTGCTACTGCGCATGCGTAAACTTTAATTAATGCTACTGCGCACATTTGAATTTAGCAAATAAAGCTTCTGCGCATGTCTAAAGTATAATTGAAGCTTCTGCGCATGCCTAAAGTGCAATTAATATTTCTGCGCATGTCTAATGTATAATTAAAGCTTCTGCGCATGACTAAAGTGCAATTATTACTTCTGCGCATATCTAATGTATAATTAATGCTTCTGCGCATATTTAAAGTATAATTGAAGCTTCTGCGCATGCCTAAAGTGCAATTAATATTTCTGCGCATGTCTAATGTATAATTAAAGCTTCTGCGCATGACTAAAGTGCAATTATTACTTCTGCGCATGTCTAAAGTATTAAAAAAAATGTTTCTGTGCATGTTTTAAAGTACCTTCAATGCTTCTGCGCATGCCTAAAATATATTATTATTTATTAAGTATTATTTCTCTTTTGTTGTAATAATAATAATAAAAATAATAATAATAATTATTATTATTATTATTATTATTATTATTATTATTATTATTATTGTGTTGGTTTTTTTGTTATCATTTTTTTTAAATAATTATTTTTAAAAAATAATTTTTTTTGGGGGCACTGGAAATATTTGAATTGAATTGATTTTTTTTTTTTTAAATTAAAATTAAATAATTTTCTTGACGTAAACATATATAATATATATGGTATCATTGTGTTTATATCCCAAGGGATAAATGTTTACGTTCAGGTACATAAATATAGGGACAATGGAGAATTGAAACAAAACGCGTCATAACCTGTATAGATATAGGATTCTGAAAAATTAAAAAGGAAAATTTATTTTCCAAACTCTCTTGCTTCTTATTTACAATTTGGAAATCGTGTAATTAACATGTGTTTAAAATGTGAGTTTTCTATTATAATAAAAGTGCAATTTTTTCTTTTTTTTTTGGAAAATTCATTTTAAAATTTAATTAATTTTATTTATTCTTCAATTTGGAATTTAAATAAAAAATATTTACATTTTTTGATATTTTTTTTTTCAAAAATTATTTAAAATAAAATTTTAATTAATATTTTTTCAAAAATTATTTAAAATAAAATTTTAATTAATATTTTTTACAGAGAGAATTTTGAAATTCAAAAATTTTTAAATAAGAAATGAATTTTCAATTTCACCTCGCCCCTCTTTTTTTTTGAGGTCATTTTTTAAAATATATTTTTTTCTCGCATTTTTTTTTGTCGGTTCAATGGAAAATTCGGGAGTGTTCGAGTTCTTACAAATTGCGATCTTTTTTTTTTTTTTTTTTTTTTTTTTTTTTGCCCGATTTAAAAAAAAAAATTATTTTTTTTTTTTTTTTTTTTTTTTTTGAAAATGTGACAAATATCGTCGGATGAAAAAGAAAAGCTGTTCAATGTGTTTACAAGCCGATGCAGCGATTATTATAAGGTTAGCAAAAAAAAAAAAAATAAATAAAATAAAATAAAAAAAATTTTCAAAATTAAAATTTTAGATCTAGAAATTTTTATCGAAATGAAATTTTTTTTTTCGTGAAATATGATTTAAGAACGTAGAGTTAAAAGAAAATTTAAATTACAAACAATTAAAAATTTTCTTTATTTTTGATTTTTCTAAAATTTTTAAATTTTTTAATGTATACAGAAATTATTTTCGTTTTTTACTTTTTTCATAAAATTGAAAATATTTGATATTTTTCAAACAAAAACTTATTATTATTATTATTATTATTATTATTATTATTATTATTATTATTATTATTATTATTATTATTATTATTATTATTATTTTAAAAATCCTTTTTCTACTTTAGACATAAAATTTGAAAACTTTTAATATATTTTTAAAAAAATCCCCCAAAAAATAAATATTTTCAAAAATTTTGATGTTTTTCAAAAAAAAAAAATTCAAAAACATTGTTTTTCACTTTTACACGAAAAAAAATCTTCGCCTAGTACAGCGATAAGTTTCTCTTGAATAGCGATATATTTCTCTATATAATAGCAAAAAAAAATTTTATTATGTTTTATTATAGTGAAACATATCGCTGTTTCAGATAAAAATTTTTTTCAATGTAGAATATTTTAAACTTTTAATGCAAAAAAAAAAATATTTACCTGGAAAAGCGATATGTTTCTCTAGAATAGCGAAAATTTTCCATATTTCAGTGAAACATGTATATATAGCTGTTTCAATAAAACTTATCTCTATTATAAATATTTTTTTCCGTAATGTATTTCATAAAAAAAAAAAAAAAAAAAAATCCTAAAAAATAACTTAAAACACATAAAATTAGAATAGAAAAATATTTTTTGAAAAAAAATTTCAAAATTTTTTGACACAAAATAGATTAAAAAAAAAAGAAAAAAACAAAATTTCCCAACCAAAAATTTCAGTATTATACCAGAGTTGACAACTGGCGCAGTACTGGTTCTGTATTGGCTGCCAAGACTTGGCAGTCTGTACTGAACCAGTACTGGTATTTTCATTGTATCCGTGCTGGTAACTAAAACTTAATAGTAACTTAAACTTGGAAGTAACTAAAACTTGGAAGTAACTAAAACTTGAAAGTAACTTAAACTTGGAAGTAACTAAAACTTGAAAGTAACTTAAACTTGGAAGTAACTTAAAGTTCGGGTCATCCTAAACTTAAAAGTAACTTAAACTTAAAATAACTTAAACTTGGAAGTAACTTAAACTTGGAAGTAACTTAAAGTTCGGGTCATCCTAAACTTGGAAGTAACTTAAACTTGGAAGTAACTTAAAGTTCGGGTCATCCTAAACTTGGAAGTAACTTAAACTTGGAAGTAACTTAAACTTGGAAGTAACTTAAAGTTCGGGTCATCCTAAACTTGAAAGTAACTTAAACTTGGAAGTAACTTAAACTTGGAAGTAACTTAAACTTGGAAGTAACTTAAAGTTCGGGTCATCCTAAACTTGGAAGTAACTTAAACTTGGAAGTAACTTAAACTTGGAAGTAACTTAAAGTTCGGGTCATCCTAAACTTGAAAGTAACTTAAACTTGGAAGTAACTTAAAGTTCGGGTCATCCTAAACTTGGAAGTAACTTAAACTTGGAAGTAACTTAAAGTTCGGGTCATCCTAAACTTGAAAGTAACTTAAACTTGGGAGTAACTTAAACTTGGAAGTAACTTAAACTTGGAAGTAACTTAAGCTTGGAAGTAACTTAAACTTGGAAGTAACTTAAACTTGTAAGTAACTTAAAGTTCGGGTCATTCTAAACTTGGAAGTAACTTAAACTTGGAAGTAACTTAAACTTGGAAGTAACTTAAAGTTCGGGTCATCCTAAACTTGGAAGTAACTTATACTTGGAAGTAACTTAAACTTGGAAGTAACTTAAACTTGGAAGTAACTTAAACTTGGAAGTAACTTAAACTTGGAAGTAACTT